CTGATTATAAGGGATGTTGTCCTTCGTGCAATACTTATCTTTGACATCGTATATTATATTTTTTTGCACTGTTTACACTTCGCCTTTCTTCAGTCCTTAAAATTTTTCCATTTTTCATTGCAGAAAGGAAAATATTTATGCTTTTTCTTTCAATGATTTTTATTACAAACTTATTTTATATATTATTATCCTACCATTATCATTTCGAATATTTATAGTAGGATGCACCCCTCATCTCAATATCAGCAAACAATGATTGTTGTTTCGCTGTTGTTATGAGAAAACAATTTTATGTTTTCGGCGCCCCAATGCAATAACGCTCCTTGACAAACGACGCTCCACACATAAGGAATAAAGAATTCTTCTGGTTGTTCCTCTTCCACATATTTAAACTTCAATTCTGGAAATTTCTGTGAACAATAATATAAAGAATAGGATTAAAATCTTTATAATTTATAAATAAATGATATAATAATTCCTTTAACAATCTACATACTCTTAAACGATCTCGTGGCCATTCTAAAGTTCCTTGCTGTATAGTAGCCAATACTTGACTAACACCCAATTGCGACTGATCTTTTTGCTCCAATTTATAAGAAAAGAAGTTAATCACCTAAAAATCAGACATCGATTATTGCAGTGATTTAAGCTTATAATAATATACTAAAATATCTATGTGTAAATGTTATATCAGTTGTAATTTAAAATTTACCGAATCAATATTTTGCACAATATCTTGGAAAGCAGTGTGCATTCTAAATGGTTGGAAAACGTCTTTTTTATATAAAAGAGTGTAAATTAAGTTTGGATTGTACGCGAGCCTGTGAGTTAAACAACTATTTATAATTTCTAATACCATCCGTAGAACCTCCTCAAGTATGGTCAAGTCTTGAATCTGCGGTACATATTTTAATTAATAATATTGACTGATTTATGTGTATTTTTACATATCAACTAAATATATCTTATATATATCTACCAAATCTGTGTTGGTGATGGCATTTCCATTAACAGTCACACTAATGGTATTGTCGGATGAAGTTATTGGCTGTGCTTGCGCTCGAATTTTTGCTTCTAATCGCGCGTGCTTTTTTGCAAGAGTTTCAAATAGACTCAATAATCTCTGACTAACATAAGGATGTAAGGATGTGAACTGGGCAGACATGTTTGCCAAAGCTGCTAGACAGTTTGTATGAAGATATTTATCCTGATAATGATAAAGAGAAATGATCATAATTTAAAAATGTAAAATTTTAAATCAATATATAATGAAAAAATAAAGAGGATGTCGCATACTTACTCTCATTTTAAACATATTATATTGTATTGTGCGGATTACAACAAGAATTAAAAGACCACCTAATGAAATTTCACTTATGGACCTCTCAGTGTACCATGTTACACCTTTGAGCATCTTGGGCAAAATAATATCAAATCAATTAATCGTTATCTTAATCATTACAATTATAAAAATTATTACAATACTTACAATTTCATGTATCCGTTTGTTAAACGTTTCATCCTCACTCAAAATTAGGAGAATGATAAGAGACATGTAAATATGATGTGACGTATTATTTGGTGCATGATATAATATTTGTAATATTGGAGTTACCTATAAATAAATATTTTAACATGAGAGATCATTAATCATTAAATATAATTATTCTCCAGGAAAAAAATTTAAATCACTTGCCAATAATTGTATATCAGGCCTTTTCATTATATCCTGCTTTACACTCGAATTCCTATGTAACAGCATGTAGAGCAAAAGCGTAATTTCATCCGTATTTGGTATTTTACAAATAGTGCTATATAATTTATTTAGATTAAATTTGAAGATCTCGGTTGTTTTCGTTTGTGATGTAGGTTGATCCTCTGCATAAAAGAATACTTTTATCATTTAAAATAATCAAATGTAGTAATACATATCTCCAATAATCGTGATATCAAGAAATTGTAATGAAATAATCATATAAATTAGATTATTAAATTGTATATTATTAAATTAGTCTAATGCATTCATCACACCTTGCATATCTATAAAGGAGAAGAGCGCATTTCTGTATGGGTTGTGCATAGCAGTACAATGATTTGTCAGAATCAATAAAAGTAATAGAGACTGACTAGCGAGTGGAGTTTCCGTATCACGCTTTTTTTCTTCGTCCTCAGCAGTGCCGTTATGCGCAACCTGTATATTTTTCGAAGCACTACCAATGCCCATTTTTATTACGTTCCACAATCCGGCTGAAATAATGCTTTATATTAACGCTTATAAGACAGATCATCCGCGTTTCGTGATATTGTCATATTTACCAGCTATGCTGAATACAATACTGCCCCCAGGTTGCTGCGTCAGCAGTCCTGGAGGAGCGTGTTCCTGTTGTATAAAATTGTGTAACAGTATACACACTACAGCAGGTGCTTGTTGACTCGAGTGTGCATGCATCGCTATCCTATATACAGTACTATACTCCGCTGCAGTTTGAGAAAATAATTGCACCGAAAGTAATACAAGTAGACAATTAATTGCTTCCAAATGAACAACATATGTAAATTCACTGCAAAAGAAAGATGCTGATTATAATATATCCATGTATAGTATGTATTTCAAATATTTTTGGAAATGTATGTGTAAGTATATTATATAGGTCTTCGCTTACCATAAAGGTACATCTATGATAAGTTCCATCAATGCATCAAAAAGTTCTTCCAACCTAAAAGAAGACAGTGCTTCATTTGCTGAAGTTGTTTGCGGTGCCTCAATGTGTTTTAGCATCTCTTCCTCACCAACAGTCTCGATAAAGTATTTCAAAATACATCTCACAGCAAATAGTGCGTTGTATGTCTGCCAGGTTGATATTATACTGTAAGGATACAAATATAATTATCAAACTTATACAATTTAGGACAACCATATCTTTTTACAGACAAAATAAACACTTTTCATAAATTTAGCATAATTAATTATGACATAACAAAGCAATAGAAAGCTTACTTTTGATTTTGGACAGGTGCTAACAGTTCATTGATGCGAATAAGAGCTACCTGTATCAGAGTACCAAAGTTACCAGTAATCAAGTTATTTACAAGCAATTGTTGCAATGATAAGTCTAATCTCGAATCAAGTTCGATTTGATCGTTCCTTGTAACAGGTGGTCGCATGTTGTAAGATAAGAATGTGTTCCAGAATGGATCGTTTGCAAGTATGCTTTGCTTTCCGCAGAATCTTTCCAGGTATACATTCTTGGAGAGATCTTCATAGCGACTCGGTGTCGTACCCATTGCTTCTATTGATCTTCTGAAAATGATAAAAGCAACGGCTCTTGGTATCTGACATATCTCGAATACACATTCCTTTTTTTACAAACTTATATCATTTTTTAACTAGATGCATGTAATATTTATATGCATACATAATATGTTTATACATAAGAGACAATAATAAAGCATAATATTCATATAATTATAGGAATATTATATCAAACAATTAATCATCAACATTCTGTTGAATTTGAAAGATTTTCTACATGGTATCCTGTATTTACATATCGTAAACATAAATAAACGTAAATTTGTTTCTAAAAACAATACAATCAAAACACGTTGACAGTTCAGTTTGACAGCAGCTTAGAGTGCACTTAAAGCAAATTCACAGGAATAATCACGCGCAATTAACCCATATATTCTAATGATGCAATGTACAATCATATTTCAACGTTACTTTTCCACTACAACAATGGGATATTATTTGGCCAACGAGAGTCTACGTAAACGTCGTGACAGATGAAACGCGTTAATAACCTTCGCACGTCATGTATCGAGGATGGTTCGATAAAATCACCGATCAGTCCTTATTTGAGCGGTTATTCGCACTGTAATTCTATCACTCGAGATATTCGAGCTCGATTCAATCGCTAAAATAACGTACACTTACAAAATTACGGATACTAATAATCAGTCGATTCTCGCATATAATGCATGGAGAGAGAAAAGTTCCATCAATGATCAAAGATGCCAGAATGAAGACGCAACAGCACGTGTGTCCGTGGAAGGGATAGGCTGTCAATGGAGGGGAGAGGGGATATACTAAGCATGCGTCCACGTCTAATGGACATTTAATAGAGGTTATTTCTATTTCTCACTGGATAGTCAGTCATTGATGAATCGATCCCATCGTATCAATTGTATCAAAATTTAATGCCTTAATTAATTTTGCAATCAGACGTGAATATTCGTTAATAAAATTTTCTTAGCATAATTATAGAAATTATAAATAATTATAAATAATTGCATATATTATAAATATATAATAATAATAATTGCAATAATTATAAAAATATCTTATCAATAATTATCTTATTAAAAAGTATTTTATTTTAAAAAGATATATGAAACTAATTTTTGTTTTAATTTTTGAAAAAATTTAAAGAAATGTTTTTCTTGATTCTAAAAATATTATATTTAAACATGTCAAACATGTTCTTTACATAAAACAAAATAACTATAATATAATAAAATAAAATAATTTAGTACAATAAAATAAAACAATTTATTAATTAACTATAATATAAAATAAAATAATTTAGTATAATAAAGTAAAATAATTTACATAATAAATAAATTAATAAATAAATTAAAATAAATTAAAATAATTTTAATTCAATGAAATAATATTGAAGGACTAATACATATTTTGAGAATTAGTTTAATATTATCATTTATTTTATTTTTTGTCAGTGAAATTGACATCACCTCGTTTTAATCAATAATTAATGCTCCGTCTATCTATTCAGATATCAATGGTGAAAGCTTTATATAAATATATCGATTTAACACATGCCTTCTTAAGAATAGTTTTATCGATATAATACTATATTCAAGAGAGATATGAAAATGTAATAGCAAGTTAAAAATTATCATATTATGACATTTATGACATCTTAAAAATTATTATTAAATATGATATTAAGCTAGCATGAGAAAAAGAGAATGCATCAATGTCAGTGTCGATTCAAGACGCCAAAGTGCCAATATTTGCCAATTTTATAATAGGTGGCATATCGGGGTAAAAACTATCGTACATCTCATATTTATCATATTATTATAATAATTTAAATAATTTAAATAATTATTATAATAATAAAAATCATTATTTTTTTCTAATTATCAAAATCATTCAATATGCAAATACTTAGAATAAATATTTTCGTAATTCATGACAAATTTATTTTACTAATGACAGAGTGACAGCTCAGATCGCAACGCATCCTATGGATGTCCTTAAAATACGCATGCAAGTGTCGCGTGATTCTTTACGCGAAACAGCATTACAAACATTTAGCACGAATGGATTTCGTGGTTTTTATACAGGATTAAGCGCAGCCATTCTTCGTCAACTGACTTATACTACCAGCAGGCTTGGAATCTACACCACCTTGTTGGATATCGGAGAGTAATGGCAATTATTGTATAATTATTGCATAATTATATTATGTTGGAAAATTGATTGCGTAATTCGTAGAGTTAAATCACATTGGATATATCATAAATTATATATAAATTGATTGATATATATAAATGATATATATAAATTGATATATATAAATTGATATAAATTGATATATATAAATGACGTGTTTAAATAATAGGATATATATAAATTGATTGATTTGATATTTATTGTCTATATCTAAAATGTCGACTAAATTCCTTTCTTCTAGGCAACATTTCGGCTATTTAAATTATGTGACGATGATTAGTCTCGGGATGATAGCCGGCGTGATGGGTTCTTTTATAGGTACTCCCACGGATTTGATTTTGATACGCATGATAGCTGATATAAATTTGCCCGCAGGTTATCTTGATTTCTGCTTTCCCTTAGAGACTTTCTTTTTCGACATGATTTAAATTTAAGATAATAAAGCGTAAACGCTTACACATTTTTTTATATGAAAGTTAATATTTAGAAAAACGAAAGAATTATAAGAGTGCCATTAGTGGCATTTTCGACACATGGAAAACCGAAGGATTTGCTGGATTATGGAGAGGAGCAGTGCCGACGATGGGCAGAGCAGCGATTGTTAATGGAGCACAATTAGGTACATACACTAAAGCGAAGATGATGTTACATGACACAGGTTATTAAAATTATTTATTTAAGTTAGTTATTAAATTAGTTATTAAATTAATTATCAAAATTTACAATATTATACTATTTCAATATATTCTCAAGAAAAAATATAACGATAAGAAAAAATACAATTAATATAATTAATAGTGATAAGAGTAATAATGATTTACTGCAATGATTGTGCAATGATTTTAATTTGAAATTTAATAATAATGTTAATAAATATTTTTAATAAGATAGGATACATCCAAAACGGTATATCATTGCAATTTGCCGCTGCTTTGATGTCCAGCATAATTACGTGCTTTGCCTCGATTCCGGTGGACGTTGCCAAAACTAGGTAAAATGACAAAATTCTAATGCAGAATATTTGACTTAGGTGTTTAAACACATGTTCTTGTAGAATTCAAAATTGGAGACAGTCCACGAAATCACCTAATATCATAGCTATGATCGTTAATATTATCAAGACAGAAGGTTTAATATCATTGTGGCATGGTTTTATTCCATATTATTCTAGAGCAGCACCTAACACTGTAATTACCATGGTGTGCGCTGATCAACTTCATCAAATGTATTTCACATATTTTCCGGTGTGACTTTCAATATCAGCCTTAAAATTATGTGCTCTCTCTCTCTCTCTCTCTCTCTCTCTCTCTCTCTCTCTCTCTCTCTTCTTTTATGATTAAAATAAAATAACAAAAATTTGTCATTATTTAAGGATAATATTATTTCGATGTATAAAATTTAATTTTAAATTGTTCGTACATGATACATTTATAATTTTAAATGTATATAAAAATATAAACGTGCAAATGTTAATTTGCACACTTTTGATTATTACTAAAAATATGTTCTATACAAATTCATCAATTGCTCATTGATAACAAGAGTTAGTACTGTATGCGGACCTATCCTACAGTAAGTTGGCCAGAAACCTTTCCAGAGAGATCCTATCCCTTCATTTTTTGCTATTGACATCATAACTGCGATCATGCCAGGAGGTTTTTCGATGCCCTTCATGTTTTGTATCCTGTAGACGTGAAACAAGGCTAATTAAATTCCTCTAAAATTAATTAACTTATTATTAAAAACATTATTATTAAAAATATTAAATGTGATAACCTGGTTTTCGTGACATCAAAGGGCATTGAATTGAAAGCCGTGAGAAATCCTGATATCATCGATGCACCAAAGTGCAAAGCTATACCTTCCTTCATATTCACTATAAAAGTCATCGGCGAATTATTTTCCGTGAATTATAAAGAGACGTAGATAATGTTTAAAAAATGTTTAAAAACATTTCTGAGACTCTTTTATAGCATTTCTTTTTAGAAAAGCTTAGATTAATAAATATATTATGTGTATATTTGATATTCAAGGAATCGAAGCATTGAAAAAAGTACGAATTGCAAGATGTTAAAAACTGATTTGTACTTCGTGAGGCTATCAAATGCTTTGCTTGGCTGTAAGTTGCCAGTTGCGAAACGTTAACGACAATGGCCCTTCCTATTGTAGCTATGCTTCCTCTCCAAAGAGTAAATATTCCTTCCTCTCTAGCGATCCTGATGAACGCATCGAACACATTCTTGTAATTTCTTCGTTGATCTAAATATTCAAAAACATTAGAATTAATTTGAGCATTAAAACATTAAATAATTCTCTTAGGAAAGAATTTCCTCTAATATCAATATGAAAATTAGTTTAAAAATTTATCATTACCTACTGGTAATCTACCATCTATTGTCATCCTTACGAGAGCAACGTCGGCTGGTGTTCCAACAAAAGCTCCCATGGCCCCAGCAGTCCCAGCCATAAGCATCAAGGTAATAAAATTGGGACGATCGATATATGTTTGTCTAAGTGCACATCAAATAAAATCAACTTCTTTTCTAAAATTATAATCACATATTGCAACTGTGTGACTTCAATTATATCATTATTTGAATTATGTAATTAAGTTAATTTCGATTTTCGCGTTATTAAACTTTTATTATATACTTTTCCTGACATTTTTTTATTTAATTACGATGGCATTTACCTCCAAAAATCTTGCAATTGATTGTAAATCCCAAGTCGCACAGTCGTGTATGTGGCTTGTCTCACGAGACCAGCTGTCAAACCGCTGTAAAACGAAGTGATACCTTCTTTGCTATATGTTGTACTAATTATGTTGGAAATTGATGCTTTCCCCTTGTGTACTTGCATTCTGTTCTTGATCACGTCCATTGGATGAACCACGCAAGTCCCTCCCATTCTAACAATAAAAGCAGATTTTAATAAAATGCGCGCGTTATATTTTATTAATTAAATAATATCACCTAAAACAAATATTTAATTTAACTTAAAACGCTATATTTTATAATTTTGACAATATTACCCAGAAAGTCCAGCTAATAAAAAATTAATTATTGGTGGAATAGGTTGTGTCCTTTTTTCTTTCGATTCTCTGTCTTTCTCTGACATTGTCAATAGCTAAATGCACGTTTAATGAAATAAATGTATTTTTATAAATATGTTTGATATAAAAATAATTTGTTTTTCTTTTCTTTAAGATAACTCTAAAATATTTTTCTCCCATTTGAATCGCATCTTATTTTAAAATACATGTATATGAAAATCTTTATAAAATGTTCAATGCTTAAGAAACTTAACCTGCTAAACACATAAAAGATAATAAATTTCATACATAGACTTAAAGAAATAGATCCCCCTATACAAAAGACTGTCTTAAATATTAGAAAGAGAGAGCGATCGAATCTCTTTCTTCCTCGCACAATTGAAGGAGAAAGGTATACGCTTTTCTGTTTATTTATTCTCATCCAGGCACGAAAGAAAAATTAAAATTAAAATTTGTATATAAATTGCAAATGTTTCATTTATCACACTATAAATACATTAGAAAGAATGTTAATCAAAGTTTTATAGAATAATGCGTTAAATTTATTTATCGTTTTATGCGTTAAATTTATTTATGTATTTATGTATTTATAGTGTGTTAAACTTATTCTTTTGTAATCAAAGAAATATAATCGACCAAACTAGCCAGAAATTTGATTTATTAGTACGTCGTTTCGACCATATGGTTGTGGTCCTTATCAAGTATACACTGGAAAGATTATAAATGATTACTAAGTTAGTTAACGGTTTAAATATATAGTACGCTCAACGAATTAAAATATAACAATTTAATTATACCGATGAAACAAAAAGAGATCACTCGGTCATTAGCAAACATAGATTGGAATCCAGACACGATTTCGACTGATTGAAACCCAATATCTTGCATAATGAAAAATATGTACGAAAGAGAGAAATTGCTGAGATGTTTTTCGTCAAGAAATTTAATAATTTAATCAACTTACAGAAAGATACGGATAGTTTAAACAATATTTACGATAAAGTAATAAAGGTCACGTAGTTCGTTTTTCGTATCGTTATTGTTTAGTCTCTTGACGAAGTCTCTCACAGACGCATTAATTTCTCTCTCGAATTCAAATTTAGTTAAAACAACGTTTTGTTTAAAGTGACTTGTGCAATTTACAAGATTATCATCCATGCCGGTCTCCTGATTTTTATTACATCGGTATAATTAAATTGTTATATTTTAATTCGTTGAGCGTACTATATATTTAAACCGTTAACTAACTTAGTAATCATTTATAATCTTTCCAGTGTATACTTGATAAGGACCACAACCATATGGTCGAAACGTCGTACTAATAAATCAAATTTCTGGCTAGTTTGGTCGATTATATTTCTTTGATTCCTTTATTCAACTAGCGACAACAAGATATTCGTAACCTTTTATTCTTTTGTGCTCTTAACAAATACGTTGCTACATATTGTCCAAAGCGATTATAAGAGAGATACAGCTATATATCTATCAAAGAAGTTTTCAATTAAAATTTAATTTTTTCAATTAAAAATATTGAGAAATGTAGACACAGTAGCTATTTTCCAGAGACATCTTTTTTCGGAGGTAGTGGGCTGCCAAGATGATATTTGGTCAGCGAGCGACCTTTCAGGGATCCTCCGTGGCATTGTATCCATCGAGTGAGATACTAACATTGTTCTTGAGTCGCATATCACTGTGTTAAAGAGCAATATCAGGTGTGAGGTGTGAATAGCTCAGTGATCTAGAGCAGTTGCTCGGAAAACGAAAGATTCGGGTTCGATTCCCGATCCAGCCATTTGCCTCACACATTTTTCTAGTCCACGAATATTGTTTTCTAGCAATGATTCGATGGGCTGAATGCTGTGAATGCTCTCTTCATAGGATATGCCGTTACTAGAGAATTTAATATAAGTATAAATTAAAAAAGAGACAATTATCACAGTTCCTCCTCTTGTATTTCATCGTAGGGTTCAATTTCAAATAATTTTCTAAGAGAAAATATATCGTCGTAATATCCTAATATATTACGATGGCGTTTTTCCTTCGAGATTCAACCTCAGTATTTGCTGTAACCAAGACAAAAATTAAATGGAATTGGGTACCCAATTTCGATAGGAAATGTTTATGAATTCTTCGATATCTCTCACGCACTGAAAAAATAAATAATTACTATAATGCACAATATATTACACAAGAATGCATATTAAAAAACCACTGATCTCTAATACATACGCCAGTACTTGAAAAAGTCGCGTGTATATATTGGTGGTAATAGTTAAGTTTATATAGTCATATCTCATAGGTAATTTTTTTGGAACTTTGATGCACTAGAAAAATTTATAACTTTATTAATTATATAATTATTATTTTTTTCAACATTTTCTTTAATTTTTCATACTTGTTAATATTTAAAAATATTAAAAATGATTCGAGATCTATAAAATTATAATCTCTTAATCATAATATACAAATAAATGTTCGACAGATTTTTGAATAGATTGTAAATGACTTCATAAATAAAAAATAATATTTAAAATATAAAGAGTTTATACTTTTATTTATAATTTACAAGTCAAAAGACTAAAATAACAATTGTTGTTTGTATTGATTTCTAAGACCGTAAAATGCTTTCAGCCATAAATAAACTATAATCTTTCATTGTTGATTATTTATCATTTTTCAAATTTTAATTTTAATTTTTCTATTCAGAGACTGTAATAATTAATGTTAACAATCATTTTATAATTTCTAAAAGGTAATTCATAATAAAAGTGACAAGATGTTAAAGTTATTAAATTTTATGTTTATAATTAGATTCTATTATGTGCGGGGCATGTGGGGTAATGATTTGATTTTGCTTCTCCATGATAATAATTAGAAGAATATGTAATGAGATAATCTTTGAGCGCGTATATAATAATTCAGAATTACGAATATAACTAACAATAAGCTCTGCATCTAATTAATTATTTCCTGATTTGTTGCATGATTTTCACGTGTTTAAATATGCAATACGTAATTTTATAAAGCTTAAAAAATGATTCACGAAATTAATATTGTCTCCGGTAATAAATACAATATTATAATTATAAACTGAAAAAATATAATATTATGCATTATAGTAATTATAAATTTTTTCAGTTTCTGAGCGATATAATTGAGCGAAGCGTGCAGCACAGTAGACAGTTGTTAGTCTACAAAGCCAAGAGCCCCGGGTTCAATTCCCGGTTCAAGAACCGAAAAGTTGTATACGTTCGCTCCTCTCTCAGAAGGCAATAGCAAAGAGAATCTCTCCAATTTAGCCGTTCGGCATCGTCATTAAACTGTAGGTTCCATATAATAATGCGTGTGATAATCTGGTGCGCAACACAGGTATATGAAAGAGAGAAATTATTATGTTCGAAATCGAACGAAAGGACTGAGAAGAAGAAGAGTGACATAAGAATAAAAGGCTTTGCTACTGAAACTGCATAACGTACCGTCTACGAAAGATGGCAATTGGAAAATTTATAAGATACGAAGGAAGCGCGATCGTAATATATTGGGATATTACGACATTTTTTTTTTCTTAGGAAATTATTTAAAATTGAGCCCTACGATAAAATACAAGAGGAGGAACCGTGGTAATTGTAAGTCTCTTTTTTAATTTATAATTATATTAAATTCTCTAGCAAAATTTGAAATATATGAAATAATTTTACTCATGTTTGTGTATATTTCTGTTTCAGTAGAAACGACTTAAATGGCATTTTTACATTACTGAACAACGCAAAGCGCACGCTTGGCAAGAATAATATTTCCATTAAAATCGATATATTTTATATAATTTATTTCTAGGAAATTATTATTTTTATTAATTAATATGAACTACATGCGCGATGTTTTGCGATGATTATGTCTTCCTCTCTTATTATCGTTATTATTATATCGCATAATGTGTAATCAAATACAATAATGTAAGTTCACGATACATATTGATAGTAAACAATATTTTCATATTATCTGATCTGTAATTAATAAAATAATCTATATAATTCTCTCTCTCTCTCCCCCCCCCCTCTCTCTCTCTCTCTCTCTCTCTCTATAAAAGAAATAAATTAATAAGATTTTGTTGCAGCATATATCTAAAACTTGTGTAATCCAATGTATATCTGATTAAGAAATTATAACTTAGAATTTCATTGTTTCGCAATAAGCTATTGAGAATTATTGTTTTTTAATATTCTATACCTTTATTTATTGCAATGCGAAATATAGGATTAAAATTTCGGGAGAATATGAAGGCGAATAATCACAATATATTTTTCTATCATATTTATCATAATATATTTTTCTGAATCAATTTAATAGTTTTTATCGGATTACAAAACAATTACAGATAAAAATAATAATGATGTGTAAGATAATTAATAATCTAAGAATGAAGAGAAAAATTTTAGTAGTAATACATACATATATAATCTTTAATAAGATTCTTTTATATTTTACTCGGAAACTGAAGTCGAATCCAGATTTTTAAACTGTTTCAAATGGAGATGTTCAAATTTTAGATTTGAATAGTTTCTACAATTCGAATAAAGTCGGTATTCAATTGAATTATTTGAACAATTATTATATTGTTGTTTTGAATGTACCAATGTATAAAATTTAAACGAAAATATAAAGAAATATGATATAAAAATATATTCTAGGCGTTAAACACACACACACATATATATATAGCATACACACATGATACGAATTGTAAGATTAAAATGTTAAAGTAATAAAAAATCGAGATAATATTAACCATGATTATTTAATTAATAATTAGTGAAAATTTAATTATATGAGAGATACTCTGTGTATAGTACATTACATATTATATAACGACATAACAGAAAATATCTTCTTCATATTAATTTTTAGATGTTGTGTTAATTGAACTTACACGTAATATAACACACATTTCCTAAAAAAACTATTTATAGTTTTATTATAAAGAAGTTGTCTAGAATTATTACGAGTTGATAAATTATTCGTGATATAGCCAACTTTGTATTTTAATCTTATGTTATCAATCTCTATGTAAACTCTAGAATAGAAAAATACAGGACTTCGAGATATTGCAACGTAATCTTTATTCCGGATAAATGACATAATGATTGGATAATATTTATAAATCTGATGACAACTAAAAAGAGATAAGATATGAAACTGATAAGATATAAATTAACGTTGTTTATTGTGAATAATTATTGCAAACAATATATTTTAATTGATCGGCATAGATTTTATGCAATAACGAAGGATTTTATATTTCCTCTTCGATCAATCTGCTCTGATTTCTTCGATTTCTTAGTGACATTTAATCCCATCTCCTTTTTACATTCCTTATAAAGCACAGAATAATTTTTAAAAATTATTTATAATTAAATTTAAAATTCTCTCCTATGTCCTTCCACATAAATGTTCAAACTTACTTCTATAGCTTTAAGAATTGGATAAAGTGGTCTCACACCCTTCGATTCTTTTAAAACTTCGTCTCCATAAGCTAAAATTTTTTTATTGGCTTTCTCGATCGCAGCTTTCATGCTTGTGGCTTCGATTTCAAGAATTTCCTCACGCTTTTTTTCAATTTGTTTCTCCTCCTATTAATGTAAGGCATTATATAATTGCTATTTTTATTAATACATTTTACAAAGAAAGTACCGTAAAAATTTATTTTAAACGAAAAATTTGAAATAAAAAATAGAGAAAATAGAAAAACATTTTAATGTTAAAATCCATGGAAAAAAGAAATAATTATTCTTAAATTTAATTCAAAAATTAGTTCAAATACACGGTATACAAAATTTAATATTTAAAATTTTTAATTTATTTACGTTAATTATATATATGTTAAAAAGTCTGTTAATTCTGATTATTATTACTATTATTATTATTATTATTATTATTATTAAATTTATTTTCTTACAGTAACTTTCTGCAATTCAATTCCATAGTCTAATTTTTGTTGCCATTGTCGCTTTCGTTCTTCTAAATTAAATTGCTCGTCATATTCGTTTTTCTTAAATCTTTGCATCATCTCCCAAATTTTTAGGTCTTTCTCCTCTTGCTTTTGCTTTGTTTTTACAGCCGTATCACGAAGTTTATATTCTTCCAAAAGAGCACGCATAGTTTCTTCTCGTTCTTTGTGAGCTTTTTTCTTTTCTATTTCAGCAGCCTCTTTTTCTTCCACAGCTTTTTTCAAAATTTCCTTTTCTTTAATCTCGCGAATTTGTTCGATTTTAATTGGCTCATATTTTTCCGCTAAAAAGAATTATTAGTTATTAGTTAATATAAATTTAATCTATTTTAATTGTGCATCATATACAAACACACACGACAAATACAAAATTAAAAAATATTATCTGACTTATAATTTGTGCTTCACGCATTTTCTTTTTTTTTTCTTTCAGCGTTATTGATTTTTGGATTTTCTGTATTTCATCTTTAGCTTTTTGATAAATCTCCAATGCTCGATCCTCAAATTCTTCATTGCGCTTCAATTCCAGTTCGAATCGTTTCTTTTCCTCTATCGCTTCTTTGAAAAATTGCTGGAGTCTTTTCTTTTTATTTAATATCTATAAACAAAATATACAATTATACATATTAGATCTTTTGGGATAAAACATGTTTAAAGCCAAAATCAATACATACGTCTTGCATTTCTTTCTCTTTTATGAGTCGCATATTTTGAATTATGTTCCTTTGATCCTGTTTTTCAGTCTCCAATTCCTTCATTAATTTTAATTTATTGTCTCGTTCGTTTTCTTCAATCCTGATTTATAATTGATCTAATAATACGTGACGCAGTATAATATTGAAGACAAACATATTTTTTTTCATTTTTCCCTCTTTAGATTCTCATATTTTAATAATATATCTTAATAATTATATATATAAATATATATATATATATATATATATATATGTATAATATTATATTATTAATAATATTACTATAATATTTCAAATAATTCCGAGACATACATATTTAGAAATAATCATATTCTTATGCACATTTTATATTAATATTTATATTATATATTTTATATATAATTATATATATAAAATAAAATATAATATTTATATATAATTTTATATTAATATTATTAATAACACATTAATTTTTACTGTTTTCTCAATTCCATTTCGTAATCCTTTATCTTTCTCGCTTGTTCCTCTTCTTCCTGCCTTTTTTGTTCCTCATATTTCGCGACGTTTGTCTTAATTGAATTAGCATATTCCATATCCTGTTCTTTATCCATCGTCTTAATAATGTTTTGAAACATTACTTGAGCGTCCAATTCTCTGAAACACTGATGAGATCAAATAGAATAGATGAGAATTTTGAATCTACTTAATGGAAAGAAATTATGTGCTTAGGGATATTATATGAATATCTGTTTCGTGGATATCAGAGTGAGTGTGAAGTAAAAAAGCACCTCGGATGCGAAAAGAGCGCGGTTAATTCGCCGACATAAAGGCTTTTTTTGCTGAAGCAATTTCCTTGCTTGCTGTACCACTTTTGCCCTCTCTGCCGCCTTTTTTTCTGCCATTTCCTTCACGAACATCTTTCTTTCTTCCTCAGCCTTTTGTCTTTTGGATAGTAACTTTTCTCTCTGCCTCGCCTTAATATTCTGTTATCAAATCATTTTCGCTTAAATGACGAATAAATATAATAAAAATTCGAAAAATATATAAAAAACTTTATCTTTATCACATTTAAATGTGCACTCCATTTGACGCTATTTTCGCTTTAAAATGTAAGATTCTTTGTTCTGATTCTCTCTTTTTGAAGCAAATGGAGCACATTTTAAGATATACATTTTATGATAAATAAATCTTGTAGTAAAATTGTATAATAAATAAATACTTTTATTTGACTGTAACGTATTTTGAAAATATAAAAACATACTTCTATCTTACTGTCCCAAGTTTTACTTTTTTCATAAGTTGCTTTTTTTAGCGCTGCTACTTTTGCAGCCTCTTTTTCTTGTTGTGTCGTTATTCTATCTTCTTCTGTAGTATAATCCACGAAACGCTGAAAAGCTCCTTTTGTCATGATTAATGCTCGAGTTCTTTCAGATGGCTGCAAAAAAGGGCGATTTTTCATAAAATAAATTACAGAAAATTCTAGTTTTTGAACTTCAGAAACACTCACTCTGATATCCTCGACTGTTTGCCCAGGTTTTAAGAGGTATGTCGTTCGCATTTCCGGATGATGTATTTTTTCCCGCACCATTTTAAAAGAAAAGAAATGATACAAATAAAACAAAGTTTCTTTCAATATGAATAGCTTGAGGTCTGCAGAGAAACTGCAGCTTGGAGCTTAACGAATACATTCGCACACCATAAATGGTTGACATAGAAACCAAATAAAAGCGATCAATGCGCTCTTTGTATGGAATAAAAGAACAAGGAGAAATTTATTTTCTCAATTGTGCAAAAAATGATAGACTTTTTAATTTTATTTTAATGAGAAAAAAATATTTTGCTAGAAGAAAATTTTTTAAAAATACTTAATATTACTAGATTATTTATATATTATTCGTAAGAAAAGGAAATATGCAATAATTATGTTATATTGTGATCAAGTTAATTTATTTAATTACTATTTTTAGAATTTTTAATTTCCTTTAAGGAGAAAAAAATATTTGTTAGAAGAAACTTTTTAAAATATTTATAAGTTACTTGTATATTATAAGTTACTTGTAAGAAAAGGAAATTTATAATAATTTATTAAATTAATAATTTATATATTGTAATCATTAATTTATTTAATTCCTACAATGCTTTATATACCATGTTACTTGATGTTTCAGAAAACTCAAGAACTCGAGGATTTATATTATATTTATTTATCGAAGATTTCTAAACATTTCAATTTTCATATTCAAGTTTGAAATTTCGAATTTGTATATTATATTATTCTCGTTATTTTAATGTATTATATAACAATGAATATAGTGACGAATAATATACGATACTAGAATCGCGTAAAGCTTGAACTTAACCGCGTCTTGTTTACAAAAACAAAGCGCGCGGTCGGCTCGCTCTGTTTTTTTGTCGCCTTCCTTACTCGTGACGTGTAAGCATTCTTCAAAATAGTTTCTCGCTTAGTACCATCTCAATTGCCGCGAGGATCGGTCTGAACTTATCTCGCTCGCGTCGCGCGCAAGAATAAATTACTTCACGTAAAGTGTTTAACGTAAAATATTAGCAAGAGTGATGAATTGTGATTCTAATAAATATTACAACGAGACTATTAATTTTCCAGTGATAAAAATCGTTATAATATTTGCGTTTTATATTTCATACAGACATATACATGAATGTTGATAGAAATTTGCGTTCAAATTTGATTCAAATGTGTCAGCCATATTTGATTTGCGTAGTAACCGGAATCGGACCAGTCTCCCCTAATGGAATCGCGAGTCGAGATCGTCAGTTGCCTCCGCGTTCGTTTACAGTGTAATTATGCGTGACAATGTAATTATATGTGACAAAATGCAGTACAAGTATAATCGCGAGCAGTGGATAAGCATAAGTGAGTTTGAATAACGTCGTTTAATCATCACGATTAATGCTATAATGGCTGTAATCATAACTCGATTTTAGGAAGAATGAAGTAAGCGTAAAGCATCGGGAGTGTCGAGAAAAGTAACGGGCGACTATCGTATTATGCACAAATCGTGAATATCGCGATCGCGTGTGACAATTCAAGTGAATTCTGAGTGTGATTGCAGCTCTAAGCAGCTCTAATTAGCGTAAGTATTATTATAATTCGTGCAAAATTTATTTTCCAAAAGTTTAATATATATATATATATATATATATATATATATATATATATAATAATTTATATATATTTAATTATAAATAATATAATTATTAATTTATTCATAATACATATGATATTAGTGTAAATAAATAATTTATTTATTAAATATTAATGTAAAATTTAAACAATTTTTATTTATTATCAAAAAAGTTTTCTATTTATGTAATATATTATTTTCTTTAATTTTATCATTAAAATTTTTATTTTATTTTTATTTTATTTATAATTATATGTTTATATTATCTTTTAAAATTTTAGATAATTTATTTAATATTATACTTTTTTTAAATATACAAATATTAAATTCTGCTCAAAATATATAAAGCACATTTGAATTTCAGAGACTCTTGAAATGATCCTTATTTACGTAATATTGTGAACACATTATTTGTATCGAGTATCATATTACCATGTACTTATTTATCTCCTCGACAGGCTCTGCAATTACCGACATTATCAACGAGGCGCGGCGCCTGCCAGGAGCTTCGCCGACGCGCCGCAAGATGACGGCGGAGCGCGGCCGTGCACCTGTGGTGACAGCACGTGCTATAGCTGAGTGGCGGTTCGGTTATCGTGAAAAGTGAGTATAATTTCGGAGTGCTGAGTGTTTCCGCTTTTTTGCGAGCGTCCGATGTGACTGACATCCCGGCGATCACCTGGTGGACGTCGAGACGCGGCCGTATCGGCGAATTACGGCGGCGGACGAGGCTCCTGTTTACGCGACGCCAGCACGTGAGTCGCCGACGATCTACCATAACAGTCCTTCGGGATCGGCGCTTAACCTTGACAGCCGCCTCTCGCGATAGTCGACGACGAATCGGTCGTCGACGGTTTCTGCGAGTCTCGCGAGACGTCTCGAGGCGAATTCTCAGCTCGTAAATTCGCGGAACAAGGGAAGGGAGCGAAAGACGTCGATTCGCGATCCCGGTGACGCTAACCTTAATCTCCGCGTCGATGAAATCGGTCGCGCGATGTGCATCGCACGCGAAGGGAGAGGGGCGATCGGGATCGTCATCTCGAGCCCTCGTGAATTTTAGCGACCTTGTCGTTTTTTTACGGGGCTTTATTCGCGCGCATGGTGGGGAATTGCAATAATTTTCGTTCCGAACGACTCGGTCGGTTCGTTTCACCTCGTGTGGCGCGGGTTTCGAGGTTACGCGCGCAAAATTTCGACGCGCGCGCAATGACGTATTTTTCTACGTCGAGGTCGATCGCTGATTGCGAGCGAAGTCGAGAGATATCAACGGCAGATTCGTATTTACGTTCGAATGGCGCACTTGAGGATAAAATTATTTACGTTAATTCGCGATAGAAGAGGTTAAGCGCGCCTAACCATTTGCATTTCTGCTCGCGAATAGCCCATTGCAATCGGACGAGAATGTAATCTGCTTGTTATAAAATATGAGATTGAATCACGAGATATTTTCAAACTTCCGTTGATACGACCAGGATTGCGATTGAGACTGCCATATCACACGGAAGTTTCAAATTTCGCGATCACGTTTCAGATTCCGATCTGAGATTCGAGTGGAGAGCCTTTTTCCATGCATATATACACACACACACATTTTTAAGGCAGATTTATTTCGCAAGGATACTTTTAGATTATGTAAAATTTAATTTGAAATTAATATAAAATTTAATATAAAATATTTAATAAAAATTTAATATAATATTTAATATAAATTTAATATAAAATATTTAATATAAATTTAATATAAAATTTAATATAAATTTAATATAAAATTTAATATAAATTTAATATAACATTTTTATGCGATTGGGATATTTCCAAGATATTTTATGGTTTGTACAACTTTACATTGACATTTCTCTCCACGTGTGTCTTAAGTCAATCGTTAAATATATTTTATTATATCATTCATATATTTCCTTTTTCAAAGTTCAACGTAAATACGATAAAAAAACACTGGACATCGTTTTCGACACGACTGCTGTCAATTTGTAGAAAAATGTAGGCTCATCACTTGTGAATTAATTGACGCCTGATTAAAGTTTCGATGTCGCGATAAAATCTGAAATTTGATTCTTTGGCGATCATAGCACTTCGAGTTTTATTTTCAAGCTCAATATATCGATATCGATACGTTGACACGTGAATTTCGTGAGTCGCGGCTAATGAAGCGTGCCGTGAAACAATGCGTGACATTCCCGCCCGATTAATCCTTTCGTAAAACGATAAAACTATTTTTACCGTGACATTTACTGTCGTTACGGAATGTGGCGCGCAAGTGCGTTGAAGCGAGATAAACGTGGAATTAAGAATTACCAGATGCAATGTATCCAAGCATATGAAAGTGGAGCGTTGTGACGGTAAAACCTTCGCATTCAGCGCATTTTCGCGATTGTAACATGCCGCAAAAAAACTGAAAGAAAGACATTATTGAGGATATAATTTCTTACTTTCATTAAAAAATTATAATTCATAATTTCATAATTTATAAAAATTTCTAATTTAAATTTACAATAAATTAATTTATAAAAATTTATAATTTAAATTTTTAATAAATTTATAAAAATTTATAATTTTATCGTGATATATTTATGTTTAAAAGATTAAAATGTATTGCGAAAATATTAGCAGGGAATATCAAAATAGATGTAAGCCACTATTCTGTTAATTTCCAATTAATATTTTCTACGAAAATGTGTGATTAATGCATGTGATGTGTGTTCAGGTACGAGCAGTCGGCAGGGAAGGAATGAGCTGTACGGATTTCCGGAAGCTGTATTAGGGTGAGTGCATTTCTGAATATTTAATATTTTCTCTCATCATTTAATCGTTTAATTAATTATCTGAAACAATCGCGCACATTTGAATTTGTCGAGAAACACAATCGAACACATAAATACCGTTGCACGCTTATTCAAAAATTTATCTCATCAAATCGTCACAAAAATTCTGATAAAATTGTCAAAACTATAGGTCCTTGAAAGTTAATAACTCTCGTATGAAATATTTAAATCTTATCTGTTTACAAATATTTTTGGAATATTTTCGCATATTTAAATAATTTATGTAAATATAAAATGTGGATTAACATAAATGATATAATTCTTTATTGAATATTAAAATAAAAATAGGCACGAGAATATATAATTTCAGAAGAAGGAAGCAATTTTCGTTTACGCAGAAGATAAAATTAATTTTAAATCGCTCTTAATTTATATCAATATTTAATTCTTAATTTATCGAATTATATCAATTTAATTCTTAATTTATATCGTTGGGTGGACAAAATGATGCAGATACGCTTATTATGCTGATACGAAACATGTTTATTAAAAATCTAGTATCTCATTCTCTCTCTACGCCTACTACAGTAAATATCACAGGTACACGTTTCTCTATCACAAGATTCTCCGCTCGGTCATTTTTTTTTTCTTTTACACGTAAGAAATTCAGGCCGCGCTATCGAATCCGGCCTTTCGGAATCGTCGAAATCATCGCCTCGAGAGATCATTTTCGTCGTTGTCCCGTGTCTCCGACTTCTTGACCGGTGGAGAGACTCCATACAACAACGTTATATTCGGCGAGAAAATAAAAAAAGAAAAACATCCTCGATAAAAGTATGAAATAAACAATAGAAAATATCTAACTGTCGAGTAAATTAAAGCTTCAGCCGCGCTCGGCCGCGAAAGAAAACTACGTATCGAGATCCCAGTGCTTCCCGACTCTCGCGGAACGTTATTGAGATGTTTGCGACGATGATGGTAGACTGACGGGGAAACATACGATGTCCGCTGACGTGAGTGTCTCTTGAGCAAATGGAACTCCTTAAACCTAAGCGCGCGTCCTCCCTCTTCCCTCCCGCGAAGTTCCTCGCGTCGTCCAAATCGCAAACGAGATTGCAAAGATTGTCCCCCGTGATCCTTCGGAAGACTCGTCCCCTCCCGTCAGTTTCGATGCCCGATCGATCGGCCAGAAATTTACCACGGCCGCCAGATGGGCTCGTTCGGTTTGGCCACCTGCAGGAGACCCTGGTGGCTCTGGGAGACGGTGTCGATGTCGGTTCGCACCGGGGATGGTTGGCTGGACGCCGGCGTCAGCGGCATCGAGTACTCGTCGGAGCTGAGCTCGCTGGAGGGCGTGGGGGAAGATTGCGGGGCGGCCACGTGGATGGTCAAGGGCCCGGTCTTGTCCATGGAGTTGAGCTTGTGGCCGAGATGCGTCATCAGCTTGGTGCCGAGAGCGACGTCGACGCCGGGGGTGGCGGCCAGGCAACGGCTGACCTCGTTCGCGCAGTGCGTGTAGCCGGCCCGAAAGCGGTCCGCGTCGATCACCGGGTTCGCCGAGAGACGCTGCTGACGTTGGAGCTTGTGCAGATGACGCACCGTCAGCTCCAGGATATCCGCCTTCTCCAGCTTCGCCACGTTCTCGCCGTCGCCGGCCAGCGCGGTCACCATCAGATCCTTGAGCTCGTCCAGGCAACGGTTGATGCGCGCTCGACGCTTGCGCTCCAGCATCGGTTTCATCACCTGCGAATCGACGGTTGCGATGAATAAGATTGTCGGAAACTAGGATTTAGGAACTGGGACGCGCGAGTGAGGAATCGACGGGAACGAATATTGATAAACAAACGGACGCGGCGCGATTGGAGCGTTAAGCTGTCACGATCAGCTGACGCTTACCTTTCGATACTGATAGGTCCTGGAGATGGGCTGCTCCTGCCCGTCGGTCACGATTATCTGCTCGTGCACCTGCATGATTAATCCGTTTTGCGACACAGTGGGAAACTTCACTCGATAACGATACCGATACCGATTTCCGCGCGGACGCGACCTCGTCGTGTTATCACCCCGGCCTGTCAAACTTTGTTCGTCGCTGCGACTGCGAGTCACTTGCTGCGGCTGGCGGAAGGAAAACGTGCGGACAACACGCAAGCCTTCGGCTCGACCTTCGAGTGAACACGAACAGAGCGTGATTGTAGTCGCGGTCGGGCGAGGCTGCGACTTATATAGGCATGGGGCCCCGTGTGGACGGGGCGAGGGGCCGATGGTGGGCCGCACGGTGGGGAGCAGGCCTTCCGTGGGAACTGTCCGTAGAGGTTGGTTCCCAAGCAAGCACACCACCTGTAAGCGGCAGCTGCCAGACACGCGCCCACACCAAGCCATCGTCACCGTTCCTGCGTCCTTGTTGCACCTAGTCGTGGCACGGAGTCGATGCTCTCTACCTCCTCGGCTAATCGTCGACGAGTGGTCGTGCCACGGTATGCATGGCTCGTAATCACTCGTCCCTCTCTGTCTCTCTCTCTCTCCCTCGCTTCCTCTCTCGTCTTCTCTACCCTCTCCGTTTCTCTCTACCGTTTCATTGGCGCTCATTTCCACGAGCGTTCATACGGAAGGACTAGATCTCGGCCGACTTCTCGGGCTCTCCTCTCCTTGTCTCGGGGCAAAATAGACGAGCCGTCCTCGTCCATCTATAAGATCAGCTTCTTCTGAACCGCGGTCGCGGCTCTCTTCCACGCTCGTGCTGGATCTTCTTATCGAGGATCTACGCCTTTTCCCTCCTCCTTTCCCTTCTCTCTTTCTCGCTCTCCTCGCTTTCCGCTTCTCCCGCTTCGCCGAACGAGAAGCGTGCTGGGCACAAGTCCGGCGCAACTTCAGATCGTGATTGCAATCTCACCGGCTACACGGTGTTGAATTGTATGCCTTGTGCCTATATATATCCCACGTTATGCACCGCGAAATAGTACGTCGCGACTACCACGATTGATTGATCATTTTACGCATGTTAAAGCGAAAAAGGAAGTCGCGGATGAACTCGATAAAGCTCGTAGCTCTTAAGGATTGTGTGACAAATTGATCGTTAAGACGGTCGCGCGATCGAGCGGTTAATTAATTTTGTTCCGCCGGCGATCTTTTGTCTTCGTTTCCGAGTAATAGGTGCGTTTCTGCGAATATCGTTGCGATAGCGAATGAATGGGAGAAGAGAATTAATTTTAATATAATGACTTGATAATTCGCCTAAAAATATTCACACTTTATTCTACTAATTAATACACAGCTCCTGGGAAACAATTACCTTCGTGTAATTATTCTAGAATGTAAATTTAATTTAAAACTGATTCGCATAGAGGAAAGAAGAGCTCATATTTTTCGTTTCATTAATATATGATAGTTTAATATTGTGTGCATGTATCTTATTCAATTATCGAAAGCCAGATTGTGCGGGAGAAAAATTTATTATTTTGATATTTCAATGTAGATCTTAATTAATATCGTTTTGAATTTAATTTGGATATTAATTAATACTAAGGCAATTACGAACAAGAATAGAATTAATAAACAAAAATCGTGACTCTAAAATTTGTGATATTTTCTTATTATTTTGATATTTCAGTTTAGATTTTAATTAATATCGTTTTGAATTTAATTTGGATATTAATTAATACTAAGTCAATTACGAACAAGAATAGAATAAATAAACAAAAATCGTGACTCTGAAATTTGATATTTTCTTATTATTTTGATATTTCAGTTTAGATTTTAATTAATATCGTTTTGAATTTAATTTGGATATTAATTAATACTAAGGCAATTACGCACAAGAATAGAATAAATAAACAAAAATCGTGACTTTGAAATTTTTGATATTTTATTTTATCACGTATGTAATTGATATCGAGAATATTACAAAGTAATTTTAATAGCAAAAGATAGTTTACGATTTACAAGAATAAACATGCGAAAAATCAAATTTCTCTCTTCATATTTCCCTCTATTATTATTACATTATTTGTGAATTTTGCTTGAACAATATTTCAGCGGTTGCTCAATCATGCACTGATAATAATTACAAGATACTAGGGAGCAAAAATTTGGCGCGGATATTTAATTTTTTTTTGGATGTATATTTAAATTTTTAATTTTTATTAAAAAAATTCTTCTTCCACAGAAAGTGCGAGATGCAATTTCATTGCTCGTTGTCCGCATAATTTATCGTCGTCAGCCGGCGAAAATCGACCGAAAGTGAGATCTTGGTTGGACGCGATTTTAATTTCGCTCGTAAAATCGTCCTGGCTTTGAATAGTTATCGCGCGAAACGAGTATCACGCTCGTGCACGTTTCTTCCATGAACTTTAAGATACTAATTTTGGCGAGGCCATCGGCTGAATTATATCCTACAAATCGATTCCTTCTCCTCTTTCCCTTCATCTTCTACCCCTGGTACATTTCGTGTGTCTGTTCCCCTCGCTAGTCGGGCTCTTTCTCTTTTTTTCCGCTTCTCTTCATCCGCTCGCTTCTTCCTCCGCGTCCTCTGTCCTCTTGTGCCACTTCTCTTATTTTGCGATCTGAGCCGGATACTTAAACGTCGTTCGCACCGAATAATTACGCACGCTCGTTTCGAGCCTCCGTCTCGTTCTCCTGCGACCCCTACGGCACCTTCCTCCCTTCTACTTGCTCGTCCACGATCCGTCATCCTGCTCTTTTTCCTCGTTGCTTGCGTCTCTTCTCGCTACCGACTCTTACCGCACTTCCTGCCCCGTCTCTCTTTCTCTTTCCCGCTCAATCTTCTACACATTCTCCTCTTTCTATTTTATTTTTTCCCGAGATACTCTCCTTCGTGTATCGGTCAATTGCATGTCGTTAATAAGTGGCGGTACTTCGATAGCATCTGACGCGATTGCGAGATAATGTTGCTCGTAACTCATTTTCCGTCTTTCTCGCTCTTGCTTGTTGATCGAATCTTTTCGTCCCCATGCGCGGCTCTCGTGGGACCTAATTAGCGCGATGTTGCAGGGACTTGGCTGTCTGAAACATTGTATGACGTAGATGTAACCACGAGAGCCAAGCATGTTCGGTGAAAGCGGACCAAATATATGATTTCTGAGGAATGGCAGATGACACGTGAAAATTTCCAATCTCAATTTTTGGATTCTTTTTTGGGAATCTTTACTTGCATCATATCGCGAAGAAATTAGATTTATTGTAAAATATTATAATTGGAGCTTAAAAAATTGTTTTTAATATTAAATTTAATATTATAATATAATATTAAATGATGTGAATTATATTATTTAATATTATATTATAATATTAAATTTAATATAATTATTAAATAATATGAATTCACATAATATACACACACATATATATATATTTGTATAACAGAATTTCTGTGACGATTTATATAATTTTATCAATTTATCAGTCATTTTCGACCTTAGATGTGTCCTACTAAATCTGCGTACATTTTATATATTTTTTATGTTATTGTTATAATTATATGATACAGAATTAAAATGATAAGATTTGAAGAATTTTAATGTAATGCTATTCAATCAATTATAGTGAGCGACGAGTGCATATGTGTGTCGAACAATAAAGAATTGATTTCGTATCACGTGCTCTTTACATTGCAGCACGTGGCATGCGAGCGTTGACAAGGCGATGTAGACAGAAAGAAAAAATATTACAATCGATTTGAAATCGGTGGAAATAGATGAAAATAAATTAGAGAATTAAATGATAAGAGAAAATAGATTAAATGACAAAAAGAATAAGAAACTTTTATATAACGCAATGAAAAAATAAAAACAGAATATTATATGTTCTCTAGTTCGAACAATATCGATCTTCATCCGTAGAAATAATTGCAATTTGTTGCAAGTGATTTTCTTAACTTTTTTAATTAGAGAGGAAGAATATTTCTAGCATCTTGTACATTGAGGGAAAAATTATTAGTTAATTCAAGAAAGCTATTTATTCGGTGGGTACTAATCACGTATTTACTTATATTCAAAACGTCTGTTTGCTTAGGTTAAGTATTTATTTACATATGTTTAAAAATATATATATGCTTAAAAAAATATAATTTTTAATTAAATATTTTTATATTTTAATTTAAAAAATATTTATTAAAATGCATTTTTTATTCCCAAAAATTTAAAATTTTTTAATTTTAAAAAATAACATATTTAATTTAATAAATTATAGTATATATATTTTTACGAAAATAGTATTTAAATATAAAAAATATATAAATAAAAAATAATACTTAATATAACATGCATATTTAATTAAAATTAAATGCTTTTGTTTAAATGAAATAAACAATTCCTTCCATTTAGAGCAAAAGTTTCAAGAAAACAAATTCATTTGATTTAAAAAAATTTTTCCCTCAGTGTATCCAGTTTTTTAATTGCACTCGACGTTAAAGCAAGCTTATGTCTTACATATGTTAATCGCGACCGATAATTGCACTTCGCGTGACATCGACGGAATCGATGATTAGCGCACGTGATGCAACAGCGTTCACCAAACGCAAAGTTCTCTTTAGTTGCAGCAATGTCGAGAGCCGACACAGATGCGGCAGCGTATGAATTTTCTCACACTCTTCGCGAGGTTTTTACTTTCCCAGGTTCTCTCTCCGGTGACGTGTAATGCACACACGCGTGCGGGGTCGTGCGATCGCGTGCCCGCCTCCGGAGACAGGGAGACGGAGAGAGAAAGAGAGAGAGAGAGACTTATTATACTAAGTGCATCAGCTGTCCGTGAACATATGTCACGAGTCGTTTGGCTCGTGCCAATGAAATCGTGATCTTCCATTACAAGCTTTACCCCCTCCCCCCCCCCCCCCCGCTGTTGTATCCCCCGTACACATGAGCAACCCCTCGTGACGTCCGTTCGCACGCGTCGACTCGCTCACGTGTAAACACTTTGGGAAAGCCGAAAGGATCGACACCGTGGGCGGGATATTCGCAATAATTAAGGTAATCGTGAGAACGTTGCTCATTTGTCCCCGATGTTCCATTCCGGTGCTCGTGACGTGAAATAATGAGGCTCGCTTCGGATGACGTAGCGAATAATCGAGTCGGTCATCTTTTTATCGGGTATAATTTTCGAATTAATGTGTGATTAGGAGATTCTACGTTTCGAAAGCGGCCAGCTTGATGGAGGCTATTTACAAATCTTTATCTTTCGGTCTCCTTAATAAT